TTGTTTATTATCACAGGTGTGCTCAAGTCCCTCACACTAGCGCACAAATCTTTCTAAGAAAGGACAACTCTCTATACGAATAATGTGACACTGGCTAACCCAATAAAGATATCTTTACTGCCTGTATATCCTCGCGAATGACACTTTCACTTCTCAAAACAGTACATTGTGCCTAGTTCCACAGCCACAAGTACTGCGTGCATGTTGACCAACCATAAGACGCACAAATCTTTACATTTTGTAACACAAATCTTTACATCATGTCCTTTCAACTAACGCCTCCTCTATTTATATATCGAAGTCACGAGGATCCTCTTGGGCAAGCATTTTCAGCGCTGCGAACATAGGAAAACGAAGCGAGTAGAAAAAGCACTAATAAAATTTATAGATTTAGAGCTTTTGATAGAATCCTGCCATGTTTGTTGGATGTATGAACCAAGAAGCGACAAACCACTTTTGCCTTTCAGCTCAGCCCACTCGAAATCAGTTAAGAGGAGAATCCCTAACGTTTGCCTTGCCAAGGCCATTCAGAAGTCTTGTCCCCCACCCCCACTGTGCATTACAGTTAAGCTCTACAAGTAGACCGTCTTACAACGGCTGGTTACCTTGAACATGTCGCAAGTTTCGTGGACTGAAAAGCTGGTTACTGTCATGCACACAGCCAACAAGCCTGAAAAAAACTGCAGCGCTATGAAGAGCCGGGCTATCATTATGCCTTTGTGCGTGACGTTTCACAAAGGTTCAAAAATACTGGCCAAGCGAAGCTCCTTACAGCAAGACCCTGCTGGTTGCTGAGCGGTGCCGATCGTCAATCGTGCGTCGTCGACCGTCATTCATCCCCTTTACCCAGTAGCGTTTCCCATCTAATACAATACGTGGCGCTGTCCCTTAGAGATGTATGCAAACTGCAGTTGAGTGATTATTTAATAGGCAGCTGCTGTACGAATTCTATGTCTATTCTATGTCCAGTCTCGTTCCCGAGAGGGCGCTGTTCCACAGAAATGCGTACAGTATGACGATTGGGGGAAGGTACGCTCGATGGCGTTGGTGGTGCAGCTGCTCTTTTATTGGCTGCTGCGTGCCCTAGAGTGCGCTTGCCGAATCGTGCTGCTTGGCGGATCATAGATGACAAGGAGCGCAAGGTGCGCAATGCTGCTGGGGCTCGAGCTCATCGGCAAAATCACGAAGTGCGTATGGATGGACGGATGCCCGGACAGATGAAGCACGGACGAATGGACGCACGAATGGACAGACGCACGAATGGACAGACGCACGAATGGGGGAACGGACGGACGCACAGACCCAAGGACGGACGATTGCACGGACGGACCGATAGACTTATGCACGGAAGAAAACACGGACGCTTCGCCCCACTCATCATCATTCACTCTGTGGATATGTATTATTTTTCTGCACTTGATAAATTGCTGAGGCTATGCAAGCGGGCCCACACCTCGCGCAAACTCGACCCCTTGCTCTGTTGCGCACAAGTCACGCTACGTGCCATGTGCTGTGGGAGTCGTCTACTCGGTTCTGCTGACGTGTGGGAAGGCCAATGTAGGCCAAAACGACAGGCGCGTAAACGTACGCAATCTGGTACTAAGGGCACCTTGGCATCCAGTGCTGGAATCGTGATTGCCCCGTCTTCGGTGGGTACGTGATAACGGAAAGACATAGGACTCAGCTTACCCGCAAGAGTGCTGAAGCAGAAAAATTTCCTTACTTGGTGAAAGCTGTGTAAGCTCCCCATCAAATGCATTGCCAGAGTTAAAACGGGATTACCTGACCTAGCTTTAGGATAAGCGAGCACTTCTCACGCATTCTTTGACTTTGGATACATTGGCTGGACTTGCCTGATCTTCTGACCACAACCTAGTCCGAGGCGTGAGAAAGTGTACTGCATGATGCGAACCTAGAAGTGCAGCTCCGGGTCATACAGCGAGCTGAGGAGTTGGCGGCCAAGCACGGCCTCACCACGATTCCTCTGTGACGTTTTGCACATAAATAAAGTTGTTTTTTCCTTCTCTCTTGCCTTTTATGCTCCTGTATTGTATGGCTCTTGGCTGCTGACCCGCAGGTCACGCGATTGAATCCCGGCCGTGGCTGCACCATTATAGCTAAGTTAAGGCTTGGGAACGTTAATCCCAAAAATTTATTACTTCTATTTATTCTTTATTTCCGTCAGTCACAGCATCAGCAAAATGCGCACAAATATTCTCCAGTGTGTAGTGGGTACCACTGTTCTCCAAAGAATGTATAGTGGATGCCTTATTGACTTATGGGGTTTAACGTTTTCAAACCACAACATGAGTATGAGAGACGCCGTAGTGGAGGGTTCCGTAAACTTTGACCACCTCGGAGTTCTTAAACGTCCACCCAAATATGAGCACACGGGCCTACAGCATTTCCGCCTCCATCAAAAATGCATGCCTCCGTAGCGTATAGTGGATGCCTTTCCAACTGCAGAAATATTCTGGTGATTTATGCCGTAGTGGGTATTCTGCAAGTGTGCTTGTAGCAGATGTCCAAAGAATGAATAAAAAGGCTTAAGAAAGGCAACTCTTCCAGCTTTCGCAGTGACTGTGCTGCGCTTTTCGGGCAGGTCAGGCGGTTTTTTTTAATGCCAGCCAGATGCGTTCGATCCAGGCGCTCAGACCCCCCTGCTCAAGCCCTTTCCGGCTCTCTTCCATCACCTATACTTCACGTGTGTTTGATAGAACCCATCATGTGTCGCCTCATGACAATAAGAAGTAGCTTTTGTTAACTTGTGTACAGACTCGTGGGGTGGCGTCCTCCTTTTGTCGTGTTCACGGTGTTGGGGGTCACTCTTGCTCTGTAATTTATATGGTATTTTCAAATAGCATGTCGCAGTTTATGACACTATGCAGGCAACTGATGGCAAGTGCCACTGTGACGCTGTTGCATGCGCTGAGCTATCTATGATTGCTTGAAGGAATCATGAAGGAAGAAATCTGACAAGCATACAATATTAGAGAGAGAAACATGTCTACACAATGCAGTAGGAATGATCAAATACACATTTGTGACGCCAGCAGCCTATACCACATATGTGGCGTCACATCACAACTTCCTCGACTAAGGCGGACTGACGGCTCCCGTTCCGAAACGCGCATTCTCAGGTACATTGAAAGAAATAAAGGAGGCCTTGTTTCTACACATCGTTCATGCATCACCCCATTTGCCCTCAAGGAGCTGATGGGAGTAAACACAGAATATGGTGATGACGGGGCGATGCCCGAATGAGTGCTTCAAAGAACATGCGCAAATGATAAAGAAATCAGCCCGTCATGCTTGTTTAGACTGCACTGCAGCTCATGTGACTCTGAGTCTGTCTTTGCAAAGTATGCTGTTTATTGAGCGTATTTTGGTGGGGGGTTACATATAAGGAGAGGTTTCCTTGGTGTAAACATTGCAATGGGACCTCTTGTTATAAAATAGACAAAAAATAAAAACAAGAGCACGATCGCGTAAAAGAAGCGTGACTATGCGTACAAAATAATATTGGAGACAATGGTATGCAATAACATAAAGAATGTTTGACATTGAAATACACAGAAAGGAGAATTAAAAAGTGAAGCTAATACAGTGCAAACAAAGCAATCACTGAGAATATCCACTAATAAATATTTCAGAAGGAAAAATAGAGCAATTGAAGTGGGTAAAAAACAGATGAAAATGTATGACAAAAAAAGGCAACGACAGTAACTACACGTAAGTCAGAAGTTTAAACAAAGATTCAGGTAAAGGTGAACTGAATGTTTAAAGACATTTAATAAGGGAGAGGTTTTAGACTCTGAAGGCAGAGTGTTCCATACCGTGATGGCGGAGAAGCTTACTGTTTTTAGTCCACAATTTGAGGCACGTCTTAGGCAATAAAATATTGTTTTGATAGGAGAACGTGTATTACTAGAGGAAGTTGTACTTTTACGGCCAACAATACACAAAAGATCCTGATTATGTACTAGGTGGTAGGCAATTATAGCTAAGTTAAGACGATCGTATTTGCAATAGGAAGAATATTTAGTGAACACAATTGTGGATGTGAATGAGCATAATAATCACTGTGCATTATTATGCGGAGAGTTTTTTTTATTCAGCACTAATGAGCTTACGTAAGTTTTTTTATGAGTATTCAAGATTCAATACAGAAGTTGAATGACTATGAAGGAAGGCAAAATGGAGAGGAGATAGTGTAGGAAGCGTAAAAAATTGGTGGGCTCTGAGCAGAAGACGATTACCATAGGCGGTTTTTTTATAAACTCTATATGATGGTTAAAGTTCAAAAAACAATCAAGTTCTACACCGAAGAACGTGAATTTGTCAGATAGAAATATTTTATAGTTATTAACATACACAGGGAGTGCGTTATCTCGCTTTTCGACCGAGAACTGAAATTACAAACTTTTCTCAAGGGATTCATAACAAGCTCGTTGTTAAGACTCCAATTGATGGCGCTCTGAAGGTTGCTGTTTAGCTGGGAGGTTAGGTGATAAACAGGATTCTTTGTTAGGTGATAAACAGTCTGTCAGGTCATTTATGTAAACGAGAAATGCAAGAGAACCTAATATTGATCATTGTGGGACCCCTATAATGGTAGTTTTGGAGCCTTACAGTATGCCTGAAATGGATACAGCTTGTGTATGATTCAGTAAATAACTAGAAATAAAATATCATGGTGGACCAAATATAGCACAGGAAGGGAGCTTGTTAAAAACATAGCAAGATCGATAGAAAGAAAAAGTGTCAGCAGAACTGGTACTGGCACAATTCCGAGAATATAGGGGCAGAAAAAATATGTTCATTGGGTCCAGCACTTCATTTCTGCACCTTTGAAATAATGAGTTTTGCTTTCTAAGGAGCTGGCATGTTCATGTGCGAAAGTGGTGTGCACAGTGATGTAAGAAAGCCCTGCTGGTAATGAGCGCCCTTATGTTGTCTCCAGCCTTGTTTTATTCCTGTTTTCTCGCATCTGCCTGCAGGGTGCGTGGAGGAGTGACCGGGCTTCGCGTGGTGGATGCATCCGTCATACCAGACATGCTATCAGGCCACCTGAACGCACCTGTCGTGATGATTGCAGAGAAAGCAGCTGACATGATACTGGAAGATGCCCAAAACATCCTTCAGTTAGGAAGTAGAGTGGTGGCATCGAGTCTGCTGGAGGCCCCACTCGGCGAAGGCATGGTGTTCACTTCGGCTGCAGCCTCACCCTCGGGGTCTGCTTTCCTGTTGTGGCTGTGCGCGATGGCGATGTTCCAAACTCTGCTGCGCCCGCATGCACTGATTCATCTATAATATTTATCCTTGGCAATGACACCTCTTCCTTAAAACACACTGGAAAGATTGGCGTATCAGTGATCAGCACATTTTCAGCCTTGTATTTACGAACATTCCCATGCTGGACACAACTTTAACGCTGCTTGTTTTTCGATGTCCTTCAATGTATATAGTACACTTTCACAAGTCACTGTATCGAAATGTCGCACATCATGCTTTCTTCACCATAAGTTCACAAAAATAAACGAGTAAGCACAGTATGCACTACAGCAACTTGCTGCCACTGCATTATTGCAAAATAACAGACGATGATGACAAGAAACGTGTCGGGGCTCTCTTTTCTGCCTGTTGTCACCGCGTAGCACCTATGCTTATTACGAGCTGGCAGCTGACCAAAATTTTTTTGCATGCTGCCTGGAGGCAGCAAGTTTGCCAGTACGAAACCCTCGCTATGAATGAAGAGAAGAAGCTGAAATTTAAAGGGTTGTTTTTTTTTCTAGGCACGCAACTAATGAAAAATAACAGACAGTGATCAGAGGGAAAGCGTGCAGGATGTGTTTAATAGCTATTGTAGTTGTAAATGAGACGTAAAAAAGATAAGGAAATCATAACTTGCCGTGGGCGGAGAGAAAACATGCGACTTCATAAGAACGTGTCCTATCAAAAAATCCCTCGGTCCCCTTTACCGACCATATATACGAAAGTCGCATGTTCGATTCCTTCCGGTGGCACGTTATCTTTTCGTCTACTTTTCTTTCTTCACATTTACTTTGAATTACTAGTAATCATATCTCGCATACTTTCCCTGGCATCACTGCCTTTTATTTCTCAATAAGTTTGTGTCTAACAAACAAAACTATTTCTTGAATTCATACTTCCTTCCTTGCTTTCACTTTGCCAGATGACACGTGCTGCACGTACATTTCTGTCGAAAAAGCTATTGGGTGCTCCGAAATCTACCGTTACTTCGACTAAATGAGAAAAGCAACCTTTCTTTCATTCCAGGATCAGCTTATAGAAAAGTAATCCACTGTCCTTAACCAGTACATGCATTGCTTTTTAAGGAGTTACAAACAGTTGTCATTTTCATGATTTGCGCTCTACGACAGACCACCAGAGAAGTATTTGCTGCCCTGGTGGTCTTTCTTTACTATTCCAGACTTGGTAACTTTTGCGTTAGTGTTGCTCCATTCTCCCCACGTTAGCGCGTCTATGCTTTACTATAAAGCACCTACAGGAAAGAGAGTTCCCATAAAAAGGAAAGAGAGATCCCATAAATAAAAAAAAGCAGTTGTGTTGGGATGCGTCTGTGATGACATAACTTTTTCTTCACGATGTGACCTCACTAGGCAATCGATTAGGCGAGTACGTATGTAGTTGAAGTAAAATGTTAATCTTTTATATTCATAATCTCTTTGAATTATTTTTATTTAGAGCGACACTAAAACACTCGTGGGAATGAACTGTTGATAATCAATTATCTTGTGTGAATTTACCCACTGTTACGTTTGTTACAGGACAATCTAAGTCGGCTATAGATTTGACTTTCTTCAGCTTCTCACTGAGGATATCTTTGTAGAAATGTTAAGATTGCGCAAAAAAAAACAGTGATGACCTTCCTAATAGTTGTCATATTAACTTATTCAGGATACTTTAACTGACAAAGTTGACTCATTTGTAAATTATGACCAATCACCAAAACACATAAAGTCTGCTTTGACTCTTCGCAAGGACATGCTGAAAGATATTCGGTCTATAAGTTTGTGTGGTACTGAAAAGAACATTAAAAAGTCAGCCTTTACAAGAACCTCAGGCACACGAGGATCGTTTAGCCCATGGTGGAACTCTTAATTTGTGAGGGGGTATAGAAAACAAAAATCGGCGTGGAAGAAACCTATTCACAGTCAATGCCCAAAAAGCTGGTGTGACTGTAAATAGATGGAAGCAGATTTTAAGCGTGTAGTACGCAAACCAATAGATAACTATACACTAACACAGGTATTTTGCGAAATCACACGATAAGAAAGGTACTTTGTAGATTTTTACGTTCCAGAAAAATGATACCGCCATCAGGTAATATTATGTCTCAGTTTTATCGCCTCACCAATTCACCTAAATACTAGAAAATGTTGTTAAAAATTAGAAGACAAATTTAGGTCAATTATTCCAAAACACATAAGTAAAACCAATTTCAGGGAAGGAGTTCAATGAAGTAACATTAGCGGAACTAGCGAATGTAGGGAGGCACTTACCTCCTGCAGCACCTGGACCAGATGTGGTAACCTTATGAATGATAAATGTACTATACGACCCTTGTCCACATGAAATCAATAATACAGTTAATTACTCTTTAAAAAATTCTCCGATTCCTGCGGACTGGAAACTTTCCAAAATGATTCCGATACTTACAAAAAACAGACTTGGGTTTACCCTTGACAATGTAAGGCCAACTTCACTTACATATATTTTGCTTAAACTAATTGAAAGAATTTTGAATGCTCACAATACGAAATACATTGAGGAGAAGTCAACTTTCAACCATAGAAAAATTGGCTTTAAATCGGGATGTTCGATCTAGTGCGTCCTCGTGGATTTGAGAACTCGTACATAGTTGGTTCGGCGTAGAAGAGAGTATCAAGCATTAGTTACTTTAGCTTTGGCCAAGAGGTACGACAAAGTGGAGCATAAAATATTAATGCAGCAGATGGAAATGTATCGCTTACGAAACTACATGACAGCATGGGTATAAGAGCGTTTAAGGGAGAGGGAGTTTTATTGCTCTCAAAGGGCTTGTTCTTGCAACATAAATCAGCAGTACCATGGCGTACTACAGCTGTGCTGTCATCGATGTTTAACATCTTTCTCAGCTCGATTCCAACACACAGAAATATTCACTTAGATGAGTATGCAGATGACATTGCCTTATTTGCGACAAATAGGGATCTGCAATTACTTTATCAGACATTACAGAATTACCTACACATGATAGAGGAATGGCTTGAAAAGATTCAGTTGTCTTTAGACGTAAACAAAAGCGCGCTTCTAGCATTTCCTTTTGAAAATCCTGTGAACATCTCTCTGACGTATGGCACAGAGCTGATTGCCCAGCTAGATTCACTGAAATAATTAGCCATCATATGTAACAGCTCGTTAAATATGAGAAGTCACAATGACCAAATTGAGTGCAAGGCAACCCTAGCCATGGGGTGGATTCACAAGCTTAGATATGAAACCGGGTTGCGAAGAAGTACATTGGTACTTAGCTATAAACTGCACATGTTACCTATCTAGGAATTCGGCTGTGCTATATTTTCTGGCAGTGCGGCTTATAAATTATAATGAGACTGCTAATACTGTTAAAAAGAGAAGCTTTACGATTGTGCCTTGGGCTGCCCAAGTTTGTTGCTAAGAATGTGCTCTACATGAACACGCCTCCCTTAATTGTGAAATAGATTTAAAATACCTACTATTCAAACACTTTTATTACAGTACACTTCACCCCAGAGAGGATTGTTTTATGCTTTTATTAGAATGCCAAGCTTACTTTCTGAAACTCAGTGGTCGCGATTTCACTACCCACAGATCATTTTTGTTCAAGCGCTGCTAGAAGCACTGAACGTCAAATCAAACATATTCTCTCAACAAGTAACTTTATATTGAACCTTCAAATAGAACTCGGTAATATTTACTCCTCTAACACGAAGAAAATGGCACACCACTATTCAAATGATCGGCTACAAGATTACTTCACACACGTGAACATGAACAACAAAATTTCCATCAATGCATCTGTATCAAACGAAAAGGCTCGGCTAGGTATATTTTCGCGTTCCCTTGACTGGTTCTTTTCGGTTAATCTTTAGGGTTACACATAAGTATTCGTAGCAGAATTTTTCGCTATTGTAATGGCGTTGCGGAGACTTCCTTCGGGCGAGTCAGAAGCATTCGTAATTACAGATTTTTTTCAGTATGTGCTGCACTGTCTTCGTGAGTCTACTTAACACTTATGCATATGTTTCGACAGGTCATACCGACAAACTTGCAAAAACTTCAGTTGTTATGGGTGTCAGGCCACCGAGGCATATATCTCAATGAGATGACGCATGCACTAGCCACAGTATCTCTTAGCGGACCCCTTATCTCGAGTTTGCTTGATACCGCGCACGCGACAGCAATTAGGTTTAAAAATCTCTTTTGCATATCTACATCAACCCTTTCTAATTCAATAAATTTCGAGATTCGTCACATGTAAGATGCCGCTGAATAGATAGCGGTGTGCAACGCGGCAATTGAGAGTTACTCATACTAGATTGCATTGTAGAATCGCACAACAAAATTATTATTTACATGAAGCTTATCTAAAGGCTTCACCCTTATATCAGGTTTCCGAAGAAATGGAAACGAAAGGCACAGATAGATTAACTTTATTTGCGCCCCGGGAAGAAGGTTCCTAAGAACCCACCGAGGGCTGCATTCCGTGACGGGGCTGGGGACCAAAGGTTCCCGATCGCTTCACAGGCTCCCTGGACCGCCCGGAGTTGTTCAGTGAGTTGTGAACTTGCAATACTTTCCGAAAAGTCTGCCTCGCTTACGTGATGCCTCCTTGTTAAAACGCGCAAGCCGGGGCACCGCTACATCAAATGAGGGAAGGTAGCGAGCTGATCGCATGCCGAGCAGTTAGGAGAAACATCCGTATACAGCGCCATAGTGACCGGTGACAGAAAGGAGCTGGTTTGGGGGAGTCGGAGGGCTATCTGCTGTCTCCTTGTCAGCTCCTCTGTGTGGATATTGAAAGGATTTCCTACCTAATCGGTAGTACAAACAAAACTCATGAAAAATGGTCAACGGGTCCTCATCAGCGCCATCACCACTCCCCTCAGTCTCAGTCAGAGGGAGGCTCGTTAGTCCGGAGCGTAGAATAAGTCTTCACGGCCGAGCGTGAGCCATTTTGTTGTGGTTGTTGATGCCGGAGACGGAGGTACCTATGTGGCGGGGAACCACGTCAACTCGTGAGGAAATATTGAGCGGTGTATGAGAGTTCTATAAGCAGCCAAAGAGATTCAGTTGGTGTCTAAGGACCTGACGGCCGTCGTTGAATCAGAAAAAATAGCGAACTGATCTCTAGTCGTCAGCGCTATAGAGATAGCGACCGGTTCAGCTACCCCGATGGACTTGGTCCTCACCGAGGCGGAACTAACGGTGCAGCCGCTCATCTCTATCACTGCAGCCACGAAGCTATTTGGTCCCGACCGAGATGCGTTAACGAATAGCGC